TATTGAAAAAGAATAATAAGAATAAATATACATAATATTAGAAGTATCACCAATTAAATTAATCAATATAGCCTTATAAAAGATATAAGTGGACAAGGTATAGTCATAATAGAACTGTATAAGATCAAGTTAATACATAATAATGTAAAATAAACCTTTAATAATTAAAAAGAGTATAAACACTTCTATAGTATAATAAAGATGATCTATGGGTCCATAGTGCAGTAGTTAGTACTTCATAGGTCATATTACAAGAGTCAAGATCAAATCCTCCAGGGGACAACCTCTGAAAAAGCAGGTAGTGATCTGCATCCATTGGCGTAACCGTATATAACTGATAGTTCCAAGTATAGCTTGTCTATCAGCAGTTGACTAAAGTTCCTGAGTGATACAAGCCGGTCTATACTGAATTGTGATAAGGCTGAATGTCTGAAATCAGGTAGGATTATCCCTTGACATGTTCGCATTACCAAATAAAGATAATAAGAAGAGTAGACATTAAACTGGTAACATGCTTCTGAAGGAAGTTATGAAGGTTAAGACTGAGATGAACAGCTTTCGATATATCAAGAACTCAAGTATGTGGCTGTGTCGGATTTCACAGACTTGACTATCGGGAGGCCTTGGTGGGAGGAAAAATGTGCGGATCACTCCAAAGAACTTGGAAATACTAAAGAAGTTCAGGATAAAGAAAATTTGATGACCTGATAACCAGACTACTCTTAATAAAACTGATCCAGAAATAATTAAGAAGGAATCATACATCTTTCCTCAAAAAGGGGTAAGACTTGTATATAGAAGTAGGATATACTGTATATAGCTACTCATATAGATAGGTTTACTTCAAATATGTATAAGGCCTTGTTTAAAATATATGTGATCTTAGTGAACATAGTTCTCATGTAATGATCTGGGTTTGGGTCCCCAGTAACCGTCATAAAGTAACTAAATATATAATAAACAAAAGATGTGATCTGATATAGAAGAAAACCAACTCCATCTGTAGTATAACTGAAAGAAAGTCAAGTACTAACAAAATACATAAATATATTATTAACAACATCCTTTTCCCAACAATTAATACCTGACTTATGACCTAGTCCTTGTACCATCAGAACTAGAAAAAATTGACAGAAGAATTAGATGCAGTATGAAATACAAAGCTAGCCTAGCACAGTCAGCATCAGATCCTATAATGTACCTTAAAACTCACTACGCAGTTCATAAAATAGCAACAAGGCAACTCCAAAAGCACACAAGTGATCTCCAGGACCTTCACAATAGCTCATCCACAGCAGGACACATATGTCAAAATAGAATACAAAACCTCCAATAGCATGCCTGGCAAAAAAACAGTATCCTAGAATATTGCCTTACTATTTTTAAAAAAGGCCACAACTTCTATCCCGACATGCTCCACAATCTACAACAAAATGGAATAACAATGATCCCCTACAAAAAGCCAGAGAATCAAGAAGAACTCCATCACATTAGTCAAATTATAGACCAGCAATGGTACTCTGATCACAGAACATCCCTGCAACAGCACAGTATCAAATACATCGAACAAGTAATCAGCATATATAAAATACGACCACTGCTTTGACACCAGGTTAGTGGTCTACATAACAAATCTATCAAAAGGAAAGAGCCATCTTGGTACCGTGAGCTCACACTGGTTGCAAACAACTTCCTTCAGGATTCCAATAACTCCAACAACCTCAATGTAGTTGCTCAAATCGAATCAGCAACCACCAGTATAAGTACATCAGCATGGTATACTACCTTCCTAAATAACAAGATCATCATTGGGAAAAGAACCACCAATGACACAACACACACCAAAATAATACACTACCGACACTCAAACAACTCACCACTATCTATTTGCACAGGATGCGAGGACACAAATATAACTGATGGAAGAAGTGATAAATGTTTTATCAAGGTGACTAACACAGACCTAGCGAAAATACCAGTAGTCCCCACCACCCACTCCTCATCAACAAACAATGGGACAACAATGCTGAGAATGCAAATATCCTTCAGCAGCATAAGCAGATGGTGGACTCACCCAAATCAACCTATAGAAGTAGTAGAAATAGACCCACTGCTAAAGTACATTCTTCAGCTCAACAAGCTCATTAAACTGCCGAGAGAAACTGCCATTCAAATCAAAGAAATCAGCAATAGCTTTCTTCTTTCGACCAGCATCAACATCTATTGTGATGGTGTATACAATCTAACACTAGACCCCAATCACATTGGCATAGGGATCACCCTGCAGGACGAGAACAACACAATACTAGAAATCTCACTACGAATCACAACCAAAGGCTTCAGTAACCTGGCAGAGCTTCTGACTATTACTATAGCTACACATCTCCCCAAATATAACATGTTCTGTCATATTTTCTCTAACTCAATCACTGCCATCAATGATATTCAACAAGCAACGAGCTGTAGTACTAAAAAGCACAAATACTTTAGGATTACAGATTATATTCTACATACAATCAGACAAAGATGACTCAACATCACATGACATATAGTAACAGTAGAGGAAACTCTAACAAACCATAAATGGGCAGACCAACTAGTCAAAAAATGTCTTAAAAAGCATAATGCATTATATACCGTGATTCTAACAGAACACTCCCACAACACGAACCTACTAATATACAAAATTAACAATATCGAAGTTACACAGAGTATAAGGAAAGCCATAGACACTGTATACCAAATAAAACAAACAATAGCATGGAACACACTAAATCGAAACTCAGACCTAATAGATGACCAAAGGAAACAAATAGACTGGAAAAAGTCAATCTGCAATCTGCACCTATTCAAGATCAACTCCTCACCCAGTGATCTCTGGGACCAAAGACTACACACATACTCGCTCAAACTATGGAACAAAGAACTCTCAATAATGACGACACTATACAAATGATACTCAAGTATATACACAACAAGTAAATGTTTCAGATATCAGGACACAGAGAATCACAACCACCCTTTTCTATGCAAAGCACATGATCTAAACGTCAAAGATCTTATCGCCAACACGATTAGCAGAAAAATCTCAGCAAGAATGGAAAAACCTTTAATGACAAACATCAAAGCTAAAGTACTTGAAAAAGCAAACAAATACAATACCTAGAACATTATTATAAGAGGTGAAATCACTAGAGACATTATACAACTTATTACCTTACAGTTAAAGGGAAGCAAAATAGAAGAGACAGTTCAAGAAATAATCAGATGTATCCGTTTCATTACCTTCAATATATGGCAAGACAGATGTTACCACTTCCACAAATGGAGACTAAACAACAAACCCAACAGCATCACACTAACAAAGGAAAAACAGAAATGGAAAAAAGCCTAGCATCAGCACACCCAAGATATAGTAATAGAAATAAACACAAGCCTAATTACTAATATACTCAATGGGAACACATCCATCTTTGACATATACTCAAGGCACACTAACGGAGCCTAGGCACGTTAGTTTCTCCACAAGAGACAACAAGCCACAGGGGGTTTACTTAACAAACTGGCTTTCTTAGAAGGTAAAGGGGGAAAAACACATAGAGAAAATAGATCACAAAATCGCTTTGTAATTTAAAGTATGCAAAAAAAAAAAAAAAAAAAAAAAAAAAAATTTGTATAAATAAGCTTGTAAACAATACTTTCAATAAGTTATTTCTAACGAAATATTTAAATAAGTTAATATGCAAAAACATACAGTAAAGTAAGTTCTTCACAAACATAATGAGCAAATATCAATGTTGTTCCAATTAAATCAATTCGCCATTATGCGCAATGGATGATCTGCACCAGTGTTAAGATGATATTCCTTAAAAAATCAATTCTGATGATCGTTACTCGACATTCGCTACATTCGTTGCACCTCATACCTGTATGTAACACACGTATACGTGCCGTATATCCGCGTCTTTTTTTTGTTCTTCTAGTGACACAAAATCACTGGACCATCTAATAGTCTTGATTACTACGCTCCCAAAGTTGAATCTTACCTTTAACCTTACAAATACATCTGATTCATAAAATGGGAGATTATGACATGTCAAATGCTCAAAATTATGGTTCAGGAACATCAAGCACTGGCTTTGGAGGTAATGGGGGGCAAGAATATGTGGTACTCGATAGGTCCACCGAAGGCTTCTCTACAGGTACCTTAGATAAATCTACTGCTGCAAAATTAAAATTAGAACATTTTTATAAGGTCACGTTGGATCAGGCGAGAGAACGACACGAAAGGTACGTAAAGCAGTCTTCCAGAACCGGAGTTAAAAACCCTAGGGTCGAGAAGTTAATGAAGTTCATAGATGTATCAAATTACCGTGACAAATACGATAGATCTGTGAACTAATATTTTTGAAATCCAGATGTATTGAACTCGAAAAAAAACTCGAAAAAGAGGATTGTTCGGAGGAACGCAAGAATAGACAACTTCAATCACTTGGACGCAAAGAATCAACATTTTTGAGACTCCGAAGGACAAGGATAGGCTTAGAGGATTTTATCACTGTCAAAGTAATTGGAAAAGGTGCATTTGGTGAGGTAAGGTAATCTTAACTTCATTAAATGCAACTGGTAAAATGTATGTTGATCTAACACTTGCCGTATGTTTTTTATCAAATTGATTAGGTTCGGTTAGTCCAAAAAACTGATTCAGGTAAGATATATGCGATGAAGACTTTACGGAAAGCTGATATGTTTAAGAGGGATCAGGTGATATATCAGAATTATTGTTTGATATCTCTTTATAGCGTTAAAACTAAATCAGGAATTCTCCATCATCGGGAATTTTAGCTTGCCCATGTAAGGGCTGAACGCGATGTTCTTGCGGAGTCAGATTCCCCATGGGTGGTCCAGCTATATTATTCCTTCCAGGATCCTTCATATCTTTATCTCATCATGGAATTTTTACCTGGCGGAGATTTGATGACAATGTTGATTAAGTACGATACTTTCTCGGAAGATGTAACAAGATTCTATATTGCAGAATGTGTTTTGGCCATCGAGGCCATTCACAATCTAAATTTCATTCATAGGTTAGTTTTTTTTATTATGACTTAATGTTTTCAAATTTCAGCGTTTAGTTTATCATCGTAAAAACTATAAAAAAATTTATACCCTACATACAAAATTTAGAGATATTAAACCAGATAACATTCTAATTGACAAAGATGGACACATTAAACTATCTGACTTTGGCCTCTCCACTGGATTTCATCGAACACATGATTCTGCATATTATCAACGCCTATTGGACGGGACCCTTAATGGCGGCAATGGGCACAGACAATTGGGTAGCGAGACAAACATTAATCTAACATTGTCGAGTAAAGATAGGATTGCCACGTGGAAGAAAAATCGAAGAGCATTGGTTAGTTGAATTTTTTTAGTCTCATTATATACTACAGTTACTTTCCATTAAATATTCTGATCGTATAGGCCTATTCTACTGTGGGTACACCTGACTATATTGCACCCGAAATCTTCTTGCAACAAGGATACAGTCAAGAGTGTGATTGGTGGTCACTCGGTGCTATTATGTTCGAATGTCTTGTTGGATATCCGCCCTTTTGTAGTGAAAATGCTCACGAAACTTACCGGAAGATCATTAATTGGAGGGAACAATTATATTTTCCCGATGATGTCCATTTGAGCGCCGAAGCCGAAGATTTAATCCGAGGGTATTCATCGTTTTATTTTGAATCATGTGTATGCTTATCGCGTAATTTTGACAGATAATCTATTTGTTCATCAGACTTATCTGTGCACCCGAACAACGTTTGGGACGTCATGGTAGCGAAGAAATTAAAGCCCATCCATTCTTTGCAGGAGTGGACTGGGATACCATCCGTAACATTGAGGCTCCATTTGTGCCTAATTTGACATCGATTACAGATACTAGTTATTTCCCTACAGAAGACTTGGATAAGATTCCAGAGCAACCTCAAGTAAACGGTAAGTTACTGCTTTGTAAATTTTGAGTGGGATTCTGTCTTATTTTTTTTTATTGATTTCTTGATCTCGCTTATAGAACGCGTCACTGGAGAATATAACCAAAAAGACTTGGCATTTGTTGGATACACCTTCAAGAGATTTGACAATCTGACAAGAAAGAATGCTTTGTAGAGTTCAATTAATTATAAAGTAATAGAAAAAATTACGAGTAATAATGTAAAGTGATATGAAACTTATTTATTGGACAGCCCAGGGAGGGAACAATTTACAATTAACATTTTTTTTTTTAATTTTATTTAAATGACATAGAAACAAATTGGAATAAATTTTTGATCAAAATGAGATTGATAACATAACATATAGCATTACGACGTGTGTTGTCGTTGGAGTTAATTGTTGTTCAAGGTGTATAATATTATTTTAATAGTTAAATTTTTATTTAATTACGACGTACAGTATGCTTTAGTCGAATAATTAATAGATACTTTTGTTAGAGTATACTGTATATAAATAACAAGGATATCTAGCTGCGAAACATTTACACAGTAATAGAATAAATCTAAAATAGTATACTTTTAGTTTTACAGTATGTTTTAAAGCGAATTATAATAAAATATAAATTACGAATACAAGTTTAATGAATTAAATTGCTTTATTTGACTAAATTGAATTGATTGAATTGATTTAATATACAGTATATAATTTTAGATCAAATTAATTTGAATTATTTTTAGTTAAAATATTTTGAATATTTAATAATTTTAATTTATAAAATTAAAAAATATCTAAGCAAACATTTTTAATCTTTTAATAACTGTATTAATTAAAATTAATAATAGTTTTGGTTTTATAGCAAAAGATACAATTAAAACAAAAATAAAGTACAATAAATAAAAAATTATAAATAAATATTGTTATTATTATTATTTATCAAGAATCAAATCAATCAACTCTTTTTGCTAATCCTCTGACCATACACAAAAAAGATATTCACAAGGAGCTATTATACTTCTATACTAAAGAAAGCTTTAACACTTTTTTTAAATTAATTTGAAAAGAAGTTCAAAAGTCACTATCATACTTCCCTTCTCTCTTGTGAACATTCCTCTTCAAATAAAAATATAACTTTAATTAATCCAAGTCATAAAATATCCTTCTTATCAATAGCAAGAAAATTTTGAAAGAAAGAAGAACTGAAGTACTTTGGTCCTCTTACTTAACAATAAAATACTACAAAACTATCTGTATAATGAGAGACTCTTTAGAACACAATCACCTATTCTCTTGTTATGATATTAGCTTTAATAATACTTGTTCTTAATCCTTTTTGGAAAAATTTACTTATCTTAATTTGATTCTGAATTTTGAATAGCATAAAGTTTCTTGCATAATAATTGAACAAAAGAATATATGTCAGTAAAATAATGTAAACAAGTTCCTATTGATCATTTCATATATCCTAAATACATTTCTTTAGCTTCATAAAAACCTAGGATCCACTATAAGTCATTGAATTTTAGATATATGTGAATATAAAATACATTCCTATCCAAGTTATTGACTATCTCTAGAAAGAGTGTAATATAACTTGCTAATATTAAATATTTTTTAATTTCTAGTATTAATGATATTTTTAAAGAGTATAGAGAATTAAATTTAAGAACTGTAGAAATCACCAAAATGAAAGAGACATATAATATAGTTAGAACAAAATTATTCAAATAATGATATATAAAAAATTAAATAAATTACAGCTATATTTTTCATTATCTTGGGTAACAGAAGAAAATGATATTTTGGAATTATAAAAAATAAATGAATAGTAATTTTCACATTTGGCATATATTACATGTAATTATTTAATAATATCTGCAACTAGTATGTCTATAGAACAGGTTTTTTCAATTAGCAAAAATTTAATTACTAAAAAAAGAAACTAGCATTTACTGTAGATAAAATGATAAGGCCATGCATATGTTTAAAGTCATAATGACAAGGGCCTCTAGCAAGTAGTAATTAAAAATTTTAATTTATATATATATATATTTTTTTTATTAACGGGCTCATACCTAACTTTATTGGATCCCAAATTACAAATTTACATTGTGCAAAGCACAAATACATGAATGAATATTCGAAGAAGATAAAGATAATGATAAGCTAAAGTTGTTCTAAAGCTACTTCGAAGCTTATTGCCCTTTCTTTTTCCAAAGAAAAACCAATATCTCTAGAGTGTACTGATATTATAAATGAAAATAAAGAAAATAAAAAAAAGATAGACCGTCATGAGAAATGTATCAGTTTTGTTTCTTGATGCATGCCTGTTTTGTTCAATTCCCCTTGTGAAAAGGTCTAGGGGAAGACTTCTACTGAGTCTTTTATAGAAATAAGGTGGAGACCAAAAAAGACACTGTACAGTTTTAAGGCTTATGGGGAGGGAGTAACCAAGAAGACCCAGGTGGTATATTGGTGTTCGCATGATCGACTTGAGAGTCTTTCAGTATATTATCAATTAAACCCATTCCTATTTAAATATGGATATACTTACCCATCTGTGCCTCTTATTTCAGATTTAATTCCTTATATGAAGAACAGCACCTAGCCTTGCAGTCGATGTATCCTGCTGATAACCATTGGTACTAACGATTAATGAGGATCTTCCAAACATTCTGGCCGGCTCGCACGTCACTGCTGACATTTTCAGACTTGAGTTTCAATGGTGTAGTGATGTTAACCTTCCAGTCTTCCAGCTCAGGATTTTTTGAAGATAGGACGAAAACTTCTTGGATTACTTTGCACATGAGCTTTACCACTGAGTATTCTAAGTAGTTTCCTGCTTTCTCTGATTTAGACTTGCTGAGTAGTAGAAGTCGAAACCTACCTGACATATAATCAGGAATAGGTGGCTTTGATCTTTAAAAGGAAGTGATCTAGCATTTTGTGACCTTTATCATGGTTGGATGGACTCTTTCTTGTATCCAATGATGTGTCGGTGTCATGTCCTATATCCATCTGCGTTAGACAAAATGACTTATGATGAACCTCAGGTTCTTATGGAGCTGAGGAAATGCATTTAGACATGTGAGGTGGCCAATAGGAGCTTGTTTATCAATCTTGTCCAACGTGTTTCGCGTTGACCAATCAGAGTTGGTGAGATCCGTGCTACTCAAAATTTTAAGGTCAAGCTGGGATAGGCAAAATTCCCCAGAAAGCTGAGAAAAAGATAGCTCTAAGAGGCAACAACACCAGTCAAAGGGTAAAAAATTGAGTCCTTTGTCTGGTTTTAAACCTCTGTTATCTCCACCATAACTAAGAGATGGAAGGTACTTCACTGTTGGTTCTTTTCTTTTTAGGAACTTTCTTGCTGTAGGTAATAAAGGTAAGAGCTGAACTTTTCAAGCCACAAGAGTTCAGTTTGTTCAAAGGAGATTGCAAACAAGAGGGGAGAGGTAGTGAAAGAGTTTTAAAAGAACTCTTTAGGTTGGTTTAAAGAAAGTAGTAAGACTTTATTAGCATAGAAGTAATAAAACTTCTTGCGAACATCTTTTTTGTGTGTGGTCAGAAGATCAGCGGAAAGAGTTCATATTTATATTACAATCAATAAATCTTTTTTATTTTGACTTCAATTTAATTTTTTTAATTATAAAAGTATTACATATTTATTTATATATATTTTGATTAAAAATAATGATTTGGTTACAAACTTTTATTAATCAAAAAATTTTATAATGACTCAAAACATTTGATGATCATATATATTGATGTAATAAAATATGTAATTGATATAATGAGTAGACAGTAATTATATATAATATATAGAATTATAATATCTATAAATATAGTTTATTTTTTTATTTTTTTTATTTTAATTCTTTATCTCTTTCTCCTTTTTCTCACTTTTTAATATTACTTAATTATAGGTAAATACTTATTTTTCTTTTGCATATGTTGAATTCAGTTTGTGATAAATATCTAAATTTAATAATAAATAACTCCAATTTTTTTAGCTTATAATAATTTAATGTAATTATTATGCCTTGCCTCTCTTTATGATTTTAATCAATATATAGTATTTATAAAGTCAAATTTATTGATAATTAGATAGTAGTAATATATATTGATTATATTCAAAAATAATTTGTATTTGCTGTTTCTGTCACAAATATTAGAAAAAAATAAATTTCAAAAAATCTAGATACTGTTCTTGATAATAAGTAACAATATAAGCACAGATAGTAAAAATTTAAAAGTGAAATATCTTTTTCTATTATTTACAAATTTCTTTATTCAAAACTTAACTTTTAATAATAAAAAAAAATCAAGTAACATATTTAATATCAATGGTAAAAAAGTTTTCAATAAAAAGAATTAACTATAAAATATTTGAAATCTCTCTTTTTTTTTTTTTTGAGTACCCATGGTCAGGCTAAATTGTCAGTTTATTAATTAATTGAAAATATAAGTACATTTTTATTTGAGTAATATAATATATACTACAGCTAAACTATTAATTTTAATCCAATTAATCTGTTATAAGCATAAAAGCCTCTAAGTTTAATCTTGAGAACAATATTTTACTATATAGTGTCTTTGAATAAAAACCCTCCTAGTTCACTGTATCATTGTTAACAGATTGTTACTACTGTATATAATATCAAGCTTTTAAAATACAGGAAATTATAAAAGAATAAATTAAAAAAAGAAAAGTGTGATATCTAAAAATGTCTAAACAAATAACAAGAAAATAAAAAAGTAAAAATTGAAAAAAATATTTCCAGCTTCCTCTAAAGATCTTTTTCTCAAGACCTTTTCTTAATAAGAAATACTTGATTAAAATATCCTTTCTTTTTCTGACTATCTGAAGAACTTATCCATTCTTGATCTTGATTTTCTTCTTGTGTACCATCTGAGAAAACTTATCACCTAGTGGAAGCTTTTACTTCCAGAACACACTTGGTCGCAACCTTCTTTGGGTTGTGATTTTTTATTCACCTGTGATAGGAAGGTGACTTATAATAGATCTCAGATTCTTATATAACCTAGTAGGAACTAGGTTATATTATTTCAATATACTTAATTAAAGAAATTTTATTGATATATATCTTTCATTATCCAAAAGATCAGATTCTCCAATAATCATTTTGCCTTATAATAATAGAAGAATATTCATT